ACCACCAGCTCATCTTTATTAACCACTGCGTATAGTACTGGAACAATGTAAATAGACAGTAGGACAGTAAATGCTTTTTTTAAATCTTTTTTTTAAACTTTTATTTATTTAGGTAAGTAATCTCTACAGCCAACATGGGGTTCGAACTCCTGAGATCAAGAGTTGCACACTCCCCTGACGGGAGCCAGCCAGGTGCCCTGACAATGAATGTTTTTTGAACTAAAATATTTTGCTTAACTAAGAGTTAGCTATTGAAGGGTAGGGGTGTGTGTGTGTGTGTGTGTGTGTGTATAGACATGAGGGGGTGGAGAATGCTGTTTGGAGGGCATGTAAATTTGCCAACAATGAGCTCAACATGTGTTGGGGAAACTGAAAAATCCAGAATGTTGAAAATGGAGAGTTCACTCAGTCATTCAGCAAAGAGTTCTTGAGTACCTACCAATGTGCCAGGCACTGTGTTTGAGATTAGGGATACAAATATGAGTAAGACACAACCCCAGCCTTCAAATGCTTCACAGTCTTGAGGCCGGGGGGGGGGGGGTTGGTGGGAGGAGACAGAGAGGTGCAGATGGGGACACAGATGTGTGCCATATAGGCTTATAAATGGCTTAAGAAGGGTCTGGAGAAAGAGCTGAGGGTGCATAGAGGGAGAACTGATGGGGCATGCGATAGAGGAGTTGAGCAAGGATGGTCAGGCCCCTACAGGCAGTGAGATGGAGAGGGCAGGGGGTGGGGTGAGCCTCGAGAATGAGGAGATCCTTGGCAGATGACAGCAGCTGGGTCATTTCAGTGACACAGGTGAAGCCCGGCCAGACTCCTCAATTGCACAAGCACTCTCAGGCCATGAACAGATAGATGCCTTCAGAAACGATCCTGCTGTAAGATTTACAAGACAGCTGTTTTCTGTGTTTTCAGACAATTTCCGAGAAACACGTATGCATATATCTTTCTTTTAACTCCCAGTGACCTCATCATAGAAAAGAATAGGAAAAATGGTCATGCTCTTAACCTTTCTGCATAGTTTTCTTCAGCATCAGAAGTCATTCTATAAATCTTCACAGAGTGCCTTCTACATGCCAGACACAGCAGTGAATTAAATCCCTGACTTCATGAAGCTCACATTCAAATGGGGGCCACAGACACAGCCAAGGGGAAAAAAAATAGATATACAAAATGTGAGGGGGCAACATGCAGAGGGAAGAAAGCAGGGAAAGGGGAGAATGATGTTGGGAGGGCTATTCTCTGGGGGACGGCTCTGATGGAGTGACAGGGAGCCAATACCTGCAGGGGGACGAGGGGAGAAGAAACTGCTGAAGTGGGAGAGTGCTCGGTGTATTCTAGAAACAGCCTGGAAGCCCGCTGGACTGGAGCAGAGTAAGCATGGGAAAGGGGAACCCAGAGGAGCCAGGGGATAGATCCTGCAGGAGGCTTTGGCTTTCCTTCCACCTGCGGTGGTAGCTCAGACAGTAGGAGCAGAGATATGCAGGGGTCTGGTGTAGATCTTAAGGATCCCTTTGGGACAGAAAGCAGGAGACAGGGTGGGCTGGGGAAACCAGTAGGAGACTATTGCAACAGCCCAGGTAAAGGAGGACGATAGTTGGGACTAGGGTGGTAGCAAGCAGAATTTGTGTGATGATCTTATTCTAGAGATATTTTGAAGTCTAAAAGGATTTGCTGATGGATTAGGTGGGAGAGAGTGAGTAGTCGAGGATGATTCAGATTCCGAGGATTTGGGCCAGACTAACTGGGAAAACTGCCATTTATTAAGACAGGAGGACTTCTTGAGGTTGGAATTCAAAAAATTTGATTTTGGACCCGTTAATTTGAGGTGGCTGTTAGGATACATGAGCCATGAGTTCAAGGGAGAGGCCAGAGCTGTATGGGAGTGGTGTTTCTGTTGTTAAGAGGGGAGGGGACCCAGGACGCATGTGCAGGGTTGGCCCAGGTGGGAGCACGGGCGGCTCACCCATTGTCAGGAGAGGGAGGTCAGAGGCTGTGGTGGGTGGATTTGTTGGTGGAACATGTGAATGTTCTCTTCTGACTGCTAATCTTTTCCTCTAGCTGTTTGTGTGTAGTAATGGTGCTGTTTTCATGAATTCTAAGATGCAAATTTCCATATTCTTGCACCCATGAAATTGGAATAAATCTTTTTTTTTTAAGATTTTATTTATTTCTTCGACAGAGAGAGACACAGCTAGAGAGGGAACACAAGCAGGGGGAGTGGGAGAGGGAGAAGCAGGCTTCCCGCGGAGCAGGGAGCCCAATGCGGGGCTCAATCCCAGGACCCCGAGATTATGACCTGAGCCGAAGGCAGAAACTTAACCGGCTAAGTCACCCAGGTGCTCCTGCAATAAATCTTAAAATCAAAGCATTTAGTTGTTAGTATTTACAGTCAACCCTTGAACAACGTGAGGGTTTGGGGCACAAACACTCATCCCCCACATAGTCGAAAATCCATGTATAACTTCTGGCTCCCCCAAAACTTAACTATTAATAGCCTACTGTTGACTAGAAGTCTTACCAATAACACTGACAGTGGAGTAACACATATTTTGTATGTTATATGTATTATATACTGTATTTTTACAATAAAGTAAGCTGAAGAAAATGTTAAGAGAATCATAAGAAGGGGAAAATAGATTTACAGTGCCATACTTTAGCAAAAAAAAATTTATCGAAAAATGTGTGTATAAGTGGACCCGCACAGTTCAAACCTGTGTTGTTCAAGAGTCAACTGTATTCTCTCTGCAACAGAGAAGAATTTACATCAAAGGTGACTCAGATTCACTTTCCCTTGGGCCTGACTAGAGTCGTCCATTGGAGAGGCGGCCAAGCAGGGCCCTGCAAATGCTGTTCACCTTGTGAGCCAAAGGGGAGATGTCAACATTTTCAGTAAGAAACTTGGGGCTGTAGCTATCTCTCTGGTACAGATGCATCCAGCCCAAACTTCTGAAGAAGGGTGCGGGTGCCTGGAGAGTGGGGGAGGGAGGCTGGCCCTCTGCCCGCAAGCTACAGAGCTGACTGTTCTTCCTCAGGGGAATGTGAGAGACCAAGGACAAGGCAACTAACACTCGGCCCATACCTGACCCCGGGCAGTGAGGCCTGACTCAGAGACCAAGTGCTTCCCTCAGTCAGATAAGATCTTGGCCCCACATCCTGTGTGGTCAAGACAAGGAGAAGTCCAAGGGTCTGAGAACAGGGAACTGTTGTCACAGCATAGCTCTTGGGGTTACTTCAGCTTTATTGAGTGCTAGCAGGAGGCCTTTACTTCTTGGTTAAGTGGAGCTGGGGCCCCAGTCCCCCTTTTCTGTAGCTGGAGTCTAGGAATGGTGTGGGAGATTCTCATTGTCCAAAGAGTTGAGTGCTTACCATATGCTGTGCTAGCTGATCACCGGGTGCACAGGACAGGCAAACCCAGACAGGGGCCTCGCTCTCAGAGCTTACATCTAGTCAGGGAGATGTAGCCATAAAGTAATCATATATATATATTTTTAAAACTGTAAAGAAACTATGTGCCAGAACATGTTCTGAGCACTTTACAAAGATTAACACCTGTAGTTTGTACAATAATCTAAGAACCAGGTGCTATTACTATCATCCCTGCTTTACAGAAAAGAAAAACTCAGGCACAGAGAGGTTAATTATCTTGCCCAAGATCACAGAGCTCCTGAGTGGCAAAGTCGAGATGCAAACCCAAGCAGTTTTGCCCGGGGGTGTCCTCGCTCTTAACCAATGAGGCCATGCTGCCTCTCGAGTTACTTTGTCTAGCGCAGTTATACTGAAACGCAAAGTCCCTTTGGAGATGGAAATGACGCATCCTGGAAGGAGGGATTTTGGCATCTGACCAGCCAGCGGCAGCTTTGAAGATGACTGGGGAGACCGCTGCTCACTGAGCAATAAGGAATTTGCAGTGGGCACTTCTGTGGTGTATTAAACCTTAGGCTTCTCCTCCCATTGTCTTCACAGCTCCCTCCTCTGTGCACTCCTCCACCTCCTCCTCACTTTGCCTCGCCTTTGATGCTTTGACTCTGCCCGCTCAAGCTTTACTGTTGTGGGGCACAGGCTTATTTTTCTCTTCGACCATGCCGCTGCAGTGTCCTTGGCTAAATCCGGCAGAGGATTACACCCAAGGGAGAGCCCAGTCAGTGGACGGGGCAAGGGGCAGGGGAAGAGAAGGAGAGAAAGATTGGAAACCAGAAATTAGGAACGGAAGCAGCTTTAGACCAAGACTGTGTCTACCCTGGCCAAGAGAAGAGAGTCCTTGCAAAATCTTGCCTATTGCATGGACTGGTTCAATGGCCTGCAACTTATTCAGGACTCAGCGCTTTTATAAAACTGAGTGTTCCTTTAGTACTTTCCGTTTTTCCAAACCCATTTGTAGTCCTCATCTCCTTTAGCTCCAACTGCAACCCCCGGGAGGTATTCCTGGCAGAACACAGCCGGCTCCCAAATGGTCTTCAAAGCCACAGTGTGACTTGTCAGACGCTAAGATTGCACACTCCTGGGTGAGTCATTTGCATGTCTAAAGTGAGTCTCATTTCAGAACAGCTGGGCTTAACTGCGGCTACGTAATAGGGCGGTAGAGCTGGCAGGACAAAGCTGGGATCCTTTGTGCTTTAAACTCCGCGCTCTCCCACTCCATCTGTCTCCCTTTCAGAGGAGGAAGACAAGACAGTCTCAGATGCAGTGCATTCAGGGATGCAGACCTGAATCCCTGGACACACCTGCTTGCCATCCGTGGGCTCCAAAGCCAAGATTGGCCTGGCCTTATTTTTTTTTCCCCCTAAGAAATAAACACCAAATTTCTTGTTAGAGTGCAAACATTCAGGGAAGCTTCTGGTAACTCAAGCACATACTGGTTCAAGGAACGCGGCCACTGTAATGTTAGGAGTTTGGCATCTGTGTCTGAACGTGCCTCTGAAACATGTTATTTCTAACACGAGGGCAGTACTGGTCTCTATTTCATAAGAAATCGTGAAAGTGAGTTAATAACTCAACATGTGCTCGCTTGGGCAGCACATACACTAAAAATCTGCACCGTACAGAGGAGTTTAGCAAGGCCCCTGCGCTAGGAAGACAGGCCAATTCGTGAAAAGCGTTCCATATAGAAAAATAAATAATAATACAAATAAATAATTCAACACGTTACCCATTCCTATTACAGTATTTTTTTTTCTTTCCCAAATCACTATGCTTTCTAAATTGGATCAATCACCGAGGTAGCTGAGAACTTGGGGAGTGCTGTGACTAGAATGGATTTTGGCCTTAGTCGGGCTAGAAAGAGCTCCGGGGCCGCGCGGTGTCCGGCAGTTACGACGGGTCTGGACTCGGGAAACCCGGCGGCCGGCGCGGCCCGCGCCCTCCCTGCCCCCACGCCCAGCCGAAGAGCATGGGCGCGGCTCCAAAGGCTCCAAAGGCTCGGCGGGCATTCTGCGGCCCTTTCTTCACATGCTAATGAAAGCTCGCAAACGGAGGACAGCAGGATCGAGCTGGTTTCTGCCGCCTGCCCGGCGCGGCGGGGAATCTTTGGCCCAAGCTCCCGCCCGGGGTTTCCCGGAGCCTCCCGCCTCCCCGTTTCCAGAACCCTTCTCTCTGGGCCTGCCTGCCCCCGGTGATCTCTCGCATCAAATCCAAACGTCCCAAGTCCCTTGCTCTCCTTGCCAGCCTCTCACGGGCCTTTGTCGTTCTCTACCATTTCACCGGGGATTCCAGGCAAGCGACAGCTTCCTACTCTCCCCCACCAAGTACAAAGCACCTTTGAGGTGGGCCCGGTGGCGAAGCCACCCGCCTAGTCCTTTGAATACAACGTTCCCGGAGGGTAGGTAGTATTGTCCCCATTTTGTAGATGAGGAGCAGAGACCCAGGGTGAAAAAGTGACGGAGCCAACGGAGCCAAGATTTAACCCCGGCCTGTTGGACTCCCTCGCCAAGACCATTCCTCCTTACTACGTATCTCTTTAAAGACAGGAGGCATTTCTTCTTTGTTTTAGATTTTAAAGTCATCGCTACACCCAACATGCGGCTCAAACTTACAACCCCAAGATCAAGAATTGCCTCCAGCCAGGCGCCCCTAGAGGCAGGAGACATTTCTGATGCAAGGAGTGATAGGGCCGGTGAGTCTGGATAGGCACAGGGTCCATAGGGGTCCCTACAGACACAGCTACTTGAGAGAGACCTCAAATCCGGCCCTGTTTGAGGGCCACCACTTCTCTCCCCAGCCCCTCCCTCCCAAGACCTTGGTGGGACTTGGTTCCTGACACTAAGGAAAAGTAGCTTTCAGGGCCCAGGAGTGAGAGCGAACACCGGTCCTCCACTCCTCTGACGTGCCTGGCTGCTTTTCAAGCGCCTTTGTTTTGTGCCCGCAGAGTTCGTTCCTGAAGCTGTGAGATCCTGGGTGGTTAGGAAGTGTCTCAGAGCACTCCCCCTCTCACCCAGAGGAGTCGAGCGGAGTTGAGCAGATCTCCAGGATATTGGTCTGATCCTGCTGGGCTGCGGAGAGAAGACTTGTAGTTGACTAGGGATTATGGGATCATTTGTCTAAAAACAATATGATCAGCTATAATACTCACTGTGGTCAGTGACAGCAAGAGTTACAACCCCCTGCATATATATAGTGTTTTCGTGGTTTCCAAAGGACTCAACGCACATTTTCTTCTTTCCTTGTCACTGGTCAACCTGTGGGATGCACAGCTTGAAGTGTTCCTGTCACCATTTCACATAACAGAAATGTGAGACCGGGGTCTCACTATTGGCTGACTGCCCGGTAGCTGATCAGTACTATGGACTACGAAGCAGGTACCCTACTCCAGCAATATAGCCACCATCCTAGAGCAACTCTGCAGAGAAAGATCTCCATAGTACTTGTGCAGATATTTATTGATTTCGTGCTTAGATTATGCTTTAGAATTCACAACTCCCCATCTCTTAGGTTCTTTTCACCTCCATCAAAAATCTTTTTCCCGGGCGCCTGGGTGGCTCAGTTGGTTAAGCGACTGCCTTCGGCTCAGGTCATGATCCTGGAGTCCCGGGATCGAGTCCCGCTTTGGGCTCCCTGCTCGGCAGGGAGTCTGCTTCTCCCTCTGACCCTCTTCCCTCTCATGTTCTCTATCTCTCATTCTCTCTCTCTCTCTCAAATAAATAAATAAAAAATCTTAAAAAAAATAAATTCAAAAGATTTCTATAAAAAAAAACACCTTTTCCCCTACTCTGTGGCTTGAGTATGTGGATATTAATGGTAGGGCACAATGATCAAATTAGTAAAGATTTTTAAAAGCTGTAACCCCCCCCCCCCCGGGGCCCCTGGCTGGCTCAGTCCCTAGAGCATGAGACTCTTGATCTCGAGGTAATGAGTTTGAGCCCCACGTTGGGTGGAGAGCTTACTTAAAAAAACAAACAGTAACACCTAATGCTGGTGAAGATTTGAGGAGATGGACAACTCATACACTGTTGATGGGACTATAAATTACTGCTTTGTTTCTAAAGGGCAATTTGATAATAATCATTAAAAGTTTCTAAAATAAACAATTTTTGATGTGTCATATCCACCCATCTCTAAAAACATTTTTTTCCTGAAGAAATAGTCTGAGACTACAGAAAGAGAAGCATTTATTAGGATATGTTTATCTCTGTGTTATCTTAAACACAGCAAACATCTGAAATAATCTGGCTCTCCAGCAGATCAAATATATTAAGATCTACAAGAAGATGACATATCCTGCAATAATTTTAAATGGTGCTATGGAAGAATATTTAACAATCTGGGGAAATGTTCACTCTTGTTGAGTGAGGAAAACTAAGTAACAAAACAGTTAATACAATCTCAATCTAATTTTTAAAAAAGATAGCTTGAAGTGGAAAGCTATCAAACTGTTAAGAGTAGTTATCTCTGGGAGCACCTGGGTGGCTCAGTCAGTTGAGCGTCTGCCTTCAGCTTCGTGATCCCAGGGTCCTGGGATCGAGCCCCGCATTGGGCTCCCTGCTCGGCAGGAAGCCTGCTTCTCCCTCTCCCTCTGTCTACCACTCTGCCTACTTGTGCGCTCTCTCTCTGTCAAATAAATAAATAAACTCTTAAAAAAAAAAAAGAGTAGTTATCTCTGAATCCTTCCCCTTCCTTATTTTCCACTCTTTTTTCAATAAACTTTTTTTTAAGATTTTATTTATTTGAGATAGAGTGAGAAAGAGAGCGAGCGAGCACAAGTGGGGCTGGGGAGGAGCAGAGGGAGAGGGAGAAGCGGACTCTCCGCTGAGCAGGGAGCCTGACTCAGGGCTCGATCCCAGCACCCTGGGATCATGATCTCAGCCGAAGACAGACACTTAATCTACCGACAGCCAGGTGCCCCTTCAATGAACTTAATAAGCATGTGTTGCATTTGTGATCAGAAAAGAAAAACCTTTCTCTCTTAGATGAGACTGTAAGAATGAACCACTCTGGAACCACCGCAAGGGGTGGATGGAGCTTGCAGTCAAAACTGGAAGCAGAGAAGGGAGAACTAGTCTCTGAGCAACTAAATTGGAAAATAATTATATTCTGGGATTGAAAGGTTTTTTTTGGCCACTTATCTAAAGAGGATGTTGTGGGTGGGGGCGCCTGGGTGACTCAGTCAGTTGAGTGTCTCGCTCTTGATTTCAGCTCAGGTCATGATCTCAGGGTCCTGGGATAGGTGCTTGTAGGGCTCCCTGCTCCGCGGGGAGTCTGCTTCTCCCTCTCCCTCTGCTGCTCCCCCTGCTTGTGCTCGCTCTTTCTTTAAAATAAACAAACAAATAAATAAATATTTTTTAAAAAAATAAAGAGGATGTTGGGACTGATTTTACAAGAAAAGTCAGCAGTTAGGCTGCTTCGAAATTGGGCAGGTGGTTTTCACGTCTGGTGGTCAGACCAGGTGAGCTCTGACTCCCTTCTGCCATGAGAGCATCTGGAGAGGAGCCCGGTGGCAAAGTCTGCCTTTGGCACCGCCCTCCTGTCCCGCAGCAAGCCGGGCCACTCCTGCCCTGCACTGGGCTCTGTCCCAGAAGGTCTTTCTCCCCATGCTTTCAACTCATCTGTCTGAGGTGCTTACTTTGACTTATAAATTAGAGGTGGAGGGGTCCTTAGAAACCTCCTGGTATGAGAAAGAGGAGGCCAAGGGAGTGTGTGTCGTGCTCCCCCCCCCCCCCCACCGTGTATCTCAGCTTGTCAGCAGTGGAGCAGAGGGGTCTGGATGGTAGCCAAAGATTGGAATGGTAATGGAGTCCGTTCAGCTACCCAGAAGTATTCTGGACCCAAAGAAATAATTTCAGGCATTGTGACCAACTACTGTTTATGCTTATGATCCTTGTGTGTGTATGTGTGTGTATTTTAACTTTTTAGATTTTGTTTGTTTGTTTCTGCCATTGAAACAGTTGGGGACATTTTTTAAGGACGGGAGTTATGAAGAATGTCCAACTGGACTGGAAGTGTGATGGGACGATGCATCAATTAGAGTGGTGTGATGTTATGGGAAATACAGCCACAGTCTCACTGTTCTGAAAAGATAATACTGTGAGGAGCAGAACTGGCACCCTGTACCTCATAAAGAGTCAGGTGATGGCATCTGTACCTATGATTACTTACTGAAATAAGCACGCCATCAGGGTGATGGGGGTGAGGAGTAGAGAATGGTCATTATGCCACATGGTGATTACAAAGATGGGAATGGTTGATTGGAAGGGCTGAGTTGCTCACTTAGGCAGCCTTGTGGTAGGAGTTAATCCCTCTTCTCTTCTCTTTTCCTCCCCTGATCATTTCCATCTACAACCCCAACCAGATTTATTCTTTTCTTTGGTCCCAGGAAGGCCATCTTGCCAATCTCAGTGCTATGAAGATAGGATTGAGAACGGATAGTTCAGTCTTCAATGGCTTCAGGATTAAAGTCCAAAGTCTTTTTCATGGAAAGCCCTTTATAGGTGAGTCCTGGCTACCTTTCTAGCTTTATCACTGGCTACTTTCCTTCACACACACTGGTTTCCCACCGAAGTGTTCCCCAGACCCACCACACTTTGATCATACCTGGAATAACAGACTGTTAGCTGTTCACAGAGCTCCTTTTCTCTTCCTTCTGGGCACACAGCATTCTCTTGCAGTGGGCTGTGGC